TCCATGCGGTCTGCGCCCCACAGCCACTGGGCCGCCATGTTCGCCGAACCCCCTGTCCCCCCCGGGGGTGCCCTCCTGCTGCCAGGCCCCGCTCAGCGGCGTGCGCTCATCCGAGCCCTGGTTTTTGACAGAGCCCCATCCCGCTGCTGTCCTGTTCTTTCCCACTCCTACTCAGTGAATTGTGCTTGCTTTGGTTATTTGGAATGCGTAAGTCTTGTTTTCGTGCTCTTGGGACCTCTCTCGGCTAGGTGCTGGCTCAACATGTGTTCTCCACGTCCAGGTAGTGGGGACTCTCAGTCCTTGAAAAGGCTTGACTTTCACAGATCTTTTTCGTTCTCAGCCTTGTGAATCTTCTTTCTTACTTTTAACTTCTGTTCGGTTCCCTCTCATCCCCCACCTCTATTTTGATTTTTTCAGTTAGGATACTGACGTGAAGTAGTAGCCTAATTTACTGAGCTGGTGATGTAAGTCAAAGGTGGAGTTCACCTTAGATGAGAAATTGTCGAGTTAAGGAAGCCTTTGTACTTTGAGATAGATGCCGTTCACTTTTGAGTCACTAGATTGTATCTACTTAAATTCAAATGCACGTGGGTACTGCAGTTATTAAGTTGCCAAGCTGATTTAGTTTCCTTCGATTTGATTTGGAAAAATTCTTCCAAAGTGTGTGACATTTTGCTGTAAATGTGTAAAACTTTAAAAACTTGTATTTAGGGTAGATCTTAATCTGACTGCCAGAGGACATTTTCAGTTGAAAGTGGGGATACTTCATGTATGTTTAGATATTTTCAGGTTTTCAGTTACGTTTTCATTGTTTCTCCTGTTGACTAATAACGTTTATCAGGGCTGACTGAGTCAAGCACAAAACTCATAATTGTAAAAAACCATAGTTGTCATTAGAATTGCACACACTGCCTATTTTTCCATTTTAAAATTATTTTCGATGTAATGTAACATTTCCTATAAAGTGACAGTAATACCAATTAAGAGCAATATGGAATAGTGGTTAGGTAGGTGTGTGTACCCAGACTGCAAGGCTGTGCTTGAGTCTAAGCTCTGCTTTCTCACAGTAATTGTGCTGCTAGTTTTCTTTTTATAAAATAAGACTAGCAGCACCTACTTCGTAGAGTAGTATGAGGGGTGATATATTTAATAATACAGAAAGCACCTATAGTAGTTCTTGGTGTGTAAGTGCTTTAAGTGTTAAGTATTACTGTTTCTAGTATTTTATATTTGTATAGTTAGCACTCCAGGGTAGATAAAAGAAGCAACTTGTTATGAAGACCAAAAGTGGAACCAGGGACGGAGCTCAGGTCTTTGGTTATCTGCAACAAATAGTGTTAGGTTGGCCAGAATTTGTCACTTGCTTTGGTTTTCTATTGGCTTCCAATCACATTGTGTGCTTGGAGATGAAAGTTTTTCCTAGTCTTAAAAGTCATAGTTTTGAATTGTATATACCACTGTACTACAATAGAAAAATAACTGGATTTTGGTTCCTTTGTTTCATAGTAAGTTACTTTAGTTTGGGGGCATTATTGAAAAATGAGTTGGACTCTTAAGAAAGTGGTATACTGGGGGTGTAGTGCAGTGGTAGAGCATGTGCTTAGCACCTTCCTGTCAGCCCCTCCTCCTCACGCAGAATATGTATAGGTTTCAGTTTCTTTTTATCTGTGCACTCCTTTCAGCCACATAACCATGAAATGCCCTAAAATTATTGCCTTTTTTTTGGAAACAGGATTGTATTCTAGTTTAGGCTGGCCTGGAATTTATGATAATCCTCCTGCCTCAGCCTCCTGAGTGCTGACGTGTGTGCCACCATGCCTACCTCAATCCATGACACTCACCTTTTAAGGTCCTCAGGATTAAATGGTGTAATAATGCCTGGCACATGATAAGTACACTGGTTGTTTGTACTGTCTAGACTTATCATTTAATTTTGTATTCATGAAAGTAAATGAGTTAATAATTGTGTTAGGTTTAGTAATGGGTATTGTGCCAACCAAGGGCAGACATAAGTGTGGTGATACGCTCTTATCCGTGGAAAAAAATTTCTGCTGATTTTCTTGGGTGATATGTTAATGCAGTGGTTCGTAAGTGTTCAGAAAAAATTAGATTGTCACTTCTTTTTCCTGGTTACATGATTATAATACTTTGCATTTGTACCACAATAGTTGTGGTGTTTCCTAGGTTTATGTGTGTAAACAATCTGAGATGTTAAATGACAGACTGGAGTCACACAGTAGGTGTCTGAGTCACCTAGGAACTGGTCTCCTTGCATTGCCCCCTTAAATGTCTCTGACTTCGGCGCTTTCTTTCCCTACTGGCTGTGCAACCCTGGAGGAACAGGCCTATCTATCATGGGCTGCTCTTGCTGTGATTAAAGTTAATGTGATCCCAGACAGCTTGGTACTTGTGGGATGGAGCATGTGGCATTTCAGACAATTAGGGCCAGCAGGGTGGCATTAAGGGTATTTCTGGGAACAATCTGAACCTAGTGTCCCCAGTCCTACCCCTTAGAGGTGTAGCACGATTCAGGTGTATTCCTGTACTGTTTGGAGATTTCAAGTATTTAAACTTCAGAAGAAGGTAAAGGGTACAAATTCGATTTAATTGGCAGAAATAGATGTTCTATGTATGAGATTTGTTTTAATATAATGTTTGTAATTTTTTTAATATAATGTATACAGTTTTTCCACTTAACTGTATGATAGAGTATGTGGTGGTAAGATAGGCCAAGAAACAGGTAAAAAGTCAACTTTTGGAGTGACATTTAAAACTTGGGCATAATTTTCCGTGTCTAGAAGTCAGTTTTGAGAAGTAGGTTTTGATTTACTGGTGGATTGTGAAATAGATTAGTGGGTTGTGACAGCATTAAAAAAAGAAAAAACAAAATAGTAGAATATTACTCATGATAAGGATAATTTTTTCTGTGGACTTATTCATATGTGTAAGTCTTTTTAATGAGTGAAGTAGTCTCCAAGTAAAAACTCTTACACTAGTATTTCTGGGTAAAAGAGTCATTGCTTGCTGGGCATGGTGATATGGGTGTGTGGGTTTGAGGCCAGCGTGGACTACACAGTGGGTTCAAGGCCAGTCTGAACTACATAGTGAGACCCTATCTCAAAAAGGCATTATTGAATTGTTGATCAATTCAGACTTCTTATGACCGAGGTGTGGTTTTTCTCTTTTCTGTCTTCACCTCATTTGTACTACTCCTGTTTATAAAGTACATATGTGCTATTCATACTCGCCTCAGTTTTCTGGTTCTTGCTTGAGTCAAAGCCTGATAAGTTTTCATCAGATAGGTTTTTGGTATTTATTGTTTAGCTCAGTCTGCCCTTCAGATTGGAAAAGACTCCTTAGTCTAAGATAGCACATTTTCCAGTTACAAATACGTGAACTGAATTCTCAGCCAAGCTTTCTTGTTACTGGTACATATTTACATGTATAATCAATTGGCACGTGGCAACTGACTATGACTAAGATATAAAGAAAAAGACAATTCAGATTCATGGAGCCTGACTTGTATCTTAGGTGAATGAAGAGACTTCTGTGTAGGAGAGGATATTTAGGGTGAACTTTGAAGCATGGATAAGATTCTTAACCAAGGAAGAATAGAGGTAAGTAGGAAAAGTCCCCTGCGGGTGCAGGGAAAAGCGAAATGGGAAAATGTATATGTATTTAGGTAGTGATCAAAGGGTAGATTAGAATCATTAGTACTTACCTCTTATTGGTTGTAGAGATCTCTAGTATAAAGTAGTACTTAAATACTAGATTTCACTAAAATACACATGTCTAGACATGCTCATCCTGCTGAATGGGAAGTTACTGTTTAAAACATCATCCATCCTGGAAAACATACAAGTCAGCAGTTGAGATTAAATTCATTAATTGGATTATTTAGGTTTAGGTCAGTGAGCCTCAAAAGTTGCATGTAAGTCCTGTGGACTTTCCTTCAACGTGTTTATCCCGGCTACTTCCCTTGTACCAGGGAATCATACTCAGGACCTTGCACTTGCAAGGCAGACACAGTGCCACTGAGCTAAATCCTGGCCCTCTTTCAACCTGTTTTGCACCTATAACAAAGTAGATTCCTCAGGTAGGGAGATTAGAAATTTGGTGATGTTAATTTCTAAATTTATTGGGTACTTTTTAGTGCAAATTCACATCCTATAAAGCATGTACAAATTGGACCAGCTTTTCTTTTACACATTGAGAAACCTCAGTGTAGATGATTTGACCTGATTTGGGAAACTTGAATAGAAATATATTCTGGAATCTATTTGGGTGAGTGTAGCACTGGGGATTGAACACAAGGCCTTTGCACTGAATTACACCCCAACCCTTCCTTCCTTCCTTCCTTTATTTATTTTTGTTTTGGTATGTATTTTTTATTTCCCTGTAGTGTTAATTTTTTTGGTTCCGGAGCTCAAACTCTGGACCTTGAGCTTGCAAGGCAGGTGTCAGCAGCACTGATCTAAATCCTTGGCCCTTCCCTGTAGTTTTGACTTACCAAGAACAAATAGCAGGGAAAGCCCAATCCTTATTTATCGATTGATGATTTTAAAATTATTATTTGTGTTTTTGAGACAGGGTCTCATGATGTAGTCCAGGCTGGCCTTGAACTTGCAGTGATCCCCCTGCCTCAGCTTCCAGCCATTTAAAAATCTTTTATTTTGAGATAGTGTCTCACTAAGTTGTCCAGGCTAGACTTGAATGTGAGATCCTCCTACCTCAGCCTCCCAGAATACTGGAGTTACAGATTGTGTCACCAAGCCTGGCCTTTTCTAGATTCTTTCAGACAAAAGCTTCTTGATAAGGTAGCACAGTTGAAGTATTTTCTTTTTTTCTGAAATGCTTGGGATATAAAGGTTTCAGAATTCAGAATTTAAAGATTCTTAAATTTTAGGATATTTGGGTAGACTTTTACTGTTTGAGTATCCCTAATCTGAAAGCTGATCTGAGATGCTCTAGAATTTCAAATTTTTGGAGGAGGGATGTCCAAACCATAGTAGGTTAGTATGTGTCCCCTTACTAACCTTTCATGAAATGTTTATTCGTAACCTTAAGTAAAAACCACATTTGCCCCCTGGGATCCTTCAAAGGCAGCTTTATTTATCATTTAAAAATTTTTTATTTTGGTGTTGGGGATCAAACTTAGGACCTTGTGCTTGTGAGGCAGACGGCAGAACCCACTGAGCTAAATCCCCAGCCCTTATTTATTTTTGGAGACAGGATCCTACTGTGTAGTTCAGGTTGGCCTTGAATGCATTATGTAGCCTTGCCTGGTCTGGAACTCGTGACGATCCTCCTGCCTCAGCATCCTGAGTGCTGGGATTACAGGCGTGTGCCATCATGCCTAGCTAAAGGCAGCTTTAGGTATTTGTTTATGAGGTGTGATTGAAATACGTGGTGAACTTTTAAACTTTAGAAAAAGTTTATTATAGTGAAATACATACAGCCTTTAATTCCCCTCACCATACTCCTTGTTTTAAACTCTTTTATCTCATTGTCATGGCCCTTGATCTTGCCTCCTTGTGAAGCAGTTCTGGAAGTCCTCTTTTTCTGAATGTTTGTATGAGGTGTGATCAAAAATGAGTGAATGTGGCTGGCAAGACCCTCCAGCACTAAGGTAGACTTAAGAAACATAATGGTGTATGTTCATTCACCTTACTCATTGGAGCTGGCACCGTGTGACTTCTGATCATTCTTCAAGTCAAAAGGACCATGAAAGATAAATATTTTGAATAGATTTGGGATATAAAGGCAGCCTCAACAGTCCAACTAATGATAGAGGACTTCCAGAACTGCTTCTGAAAGTGGCAGGAATGTGGGGATAAGTGTGTTTGAAGAGGGAAGTTTTTTTAAAATAGCAAAACATATTGGTACATTTCAGACGTGCACAATGATAACACTCATTGTAGTGAATTTGCACCTGTATACGTTACCTGGGGGGAGTATTTTGAGAGGAATTAATGGCAATATGTCTTATTGTTATCATTAAGAAACAGTCACTGTCTTTTTTTTTTTTTTTTAATCACAAGACATAATGGAAGGCAGGGCCTAGGGCCCTCATAATGTTTCAAGTAGGTTAAGTGTTACTGATGAGAGTGTTCAGAATTTTTTCACTTGTAACTTCTCTTTTGGGTTTATTAACATGGATACATTACTGAAGATTTGCAAACTGTTACTGTTTTTTGTTTGTTAAATCTTCATTTTTTGTTCACCTAAGTGTCCAGTCAAATTCTTCAAATGTAATATCCCCCTAAAATAACTAAAAGAAAAAAAAAAGGGGGAAAATGCTTTGGAAACTTAACTGATATTTACACACTGGTAGCACTGTAGTTTTGCATTTGGTAGTTCTTGATTTCATTCTTGTATGTTTTACTTTTGAGACAAGGTCTCTCCTTTGCAGTTTAGCCTGGCCTTGAACTCACTGCGTAGCCCAGACTGGCGTCAAACTCAGTGATCTGCCTGCTTCAGCCTTCCAAGTGCTAGGGTTACAGGCGTTTGCCACTGTGTCTCCTTTGTGTTCTGGCTTTCTGTGCAGCAGAGCAGAGATCCTGCACTATTAAAATGTTTTCTTTTCTATAGTGTTGGTTTGTTTTTTGCTGAAGAGTGAATTTCTCAGCTTTTTTCATACTGAAACACATAAACTGTCAAGCTCTAATTATTATTATTATTATTATTGTTATTATTTGTTTGTTTTTGTGGTACTGGAGATTGAACTCAAGACCTTGTGCTTGCAAGGCAGGCGGCGGCACCACTGAGCTAAATCCCTGGCCCTCAAACTCTAATTTTTAAAAATATGTGGAAGAGAAGTGTTAAAATAAAATAAATTTTCAACATTGTAAGCTCTGGTCTTGTAGTGATCGTAAGTTGTGATTATTGATTGTCTTTTTGCTGGACAGCGTCACATTTGAAATCAGAGTTTTGCGATACATTTGCCACTAGATGGAAACTTGTGCCTTTTAAGTGGTCTTGAATCACTGAGCAAACATGGAACCAGGCGAACCCCGATCAGCCCTGGAGCAGTTTCTGTGTGTGCCCTGAGTTGCTCTACAACTTAACAGCTGCTTGTTGATGCAAATTGTACTCAGTACATATTGATAAATATAAAAGCATTTGAGTCCCTCTTCTGGAAACTAAGCTAGAATTTGAGGACAGGTTGGGACGGGGAAAGGGAAGTGTCATTGGCCGTTCAGCTGTGGATCTATGGACCCTAGGCCCTGGAGTCTGGATCCTGTCTACCCTGGAGGAGTGGAAGGTTCTCTTGATCCTGTCGGGAAGGGTTTAGTGGGAGAAGTGGAAAGAGCACTGGAGCTGTGTGGGCCTAGGAGATAGTACCTAGAGTGTGTCCTGTTCGCTGCCTCCTTCTGGGAGGCGGGAGTGGGGCCTAGAGCCTTGACTTTCTCTTCCCATTGGAGGTTTTTCTTTTTTTAAACTAATGGGAAATTACTTGAAAGTGTATTCTTGCCCTCGTTCTTTTTAAATGTATGTTTTGTGGGCTAGCAGACATTTCTTTATGAGTTAATGATGTTTTAGTGTTTGAAATATTAACTAAAAATGCTGTTTTAATTTTTTTTTTTCCAGGAGAGCCACCAGAGGAAAAAGCGGAAATCAGAAGCTATAGGAACGGGTGACCAGATTGACTTGTTGGCTCTTGGTACAGCAGTTGGTAGCATTTTATTGTACAGTACAGTAAAAGGAGAATTGCACAGTAAATTAGTAGTAAGTGTATTTATGTGTATTTTACATGAAAGGTCTGATGAGAACTGAGATTATTAGAAACCCTTCAAGAGACGTGATGAGATTTGTACTATATGGGCAGTGTTTTTGCTTATGTTTCATTCATTTTTTCACTTTGATAATCACAGTCTTGTTTGCTGACTAGACCTTAGGCACTGGGCTAACAGCTGCAGAAAGATAAATGTTTTATTTATTTTTTCATTTATAATTTTTTGTTTTTATTAGTACATGTTTGCAAGTACATAATGATTATGCTCATTGTGGAGAATTGGTACATGTACACAATGCATCACAATGCTTTATTTTTTCTCCTCCCCCTCTACCTCCTTTTAAATTTAAAAAATTTATTTATTTTTTTTTTTTTTTTTTTTTTTTTTTTGAGACAGGGTCTCACTATGTAGTTCAGACTGGTCCCAAACTCACTATGTAGCTCAGGCTGGCCTCGAATTTATAGTGATCCTCCTGCCTCAGCTTCCTGAGTGCTGAGATTACAAACATGTGATGAGTAGTAATAGTTGATAAGAGCTGATTTAGGTAACGTCATCTTTGTTAGGGGTCAGAGTGTGAAGAATTATTGACAAAGGTTAAAGGAACTCTAGGGTATCACAGGCAGCTGCGTAAGCAGCTAGCCACTTCCTTTTGGGCAAGGGAAGCAAAGAAGGCAGCTGGAATAACTGCTGAAGCTGAGGCCTTTAAGCAGCAGATCTTCTGTTGGTGGTGCTGTCTCTTTAGTGTTCCCCCCTTTATATACTGTAAACATGACTTCTGAGAGTGTTCTTGATTTGTACTTTCATCTGGACAGTACCTCTGTTCCAGGAGAGTAATTGTGACTGCTGAATATCCCATTAAAGCAGAGGCAATGATTAGGGGAAAAAAACCCCACCTGATTTGGTAGCTGAAAAATGTTACCTGATTTTAAATCTGCCTTTAGAAATTGTTTTCATCTTAAAGGTACTGTGTACAGCTGTAAGGAGAATGTGGTGTTCGGGGTCTGTCACCCTCAGTTTCTCCCTGCCCTCCCAGCTGATGTTGGTGGTCCTCACTTCGGCTCTCAACCCCCTGCGGTTGAGAGCCAGCCATCCTTTGACTTGGTTAGTTTTGGGGGGCAGCAGGTATCCAGTGTCCTGTGCAGCGTGATGGCTGCAGGCATGATACTGAGAGAGCCAAAATTCTTTCTTGAATCCTCTCACTACTTCATTATTACAAGTACTTTTATTTTTAACACTTCTGTGTTTTTGAGACAGGGTCTTACTGTAGTATGGGGTGAAGGGTGTCAGACTGGTCCGGTGACGTAGAAAGGGACACAGCTTTGCAGCTGTCCTAAGATCGAATCCTCCTGCTTACTCAATCATGGATCATTTAACTTCTCACCTTTTAAGTGTTTATTCTACAACCTAGCTTGTATAACTTCAGTAAGACTTGGACATAGTAATACATTGAAAGTGCCTGGTAAATGTTGGTTGAATGAGTAAGTGAATGAGTGAGGGGCACGTTGCCAGTTTGCTGTCTGAAAGGATGTGCTGATTTCACTGCCCCTAGCTGTGTCTTACAGTCCCCCCACCTTATGATAATCTCATCTGCTTGGGCAGTATAGTGCTAAGCAAATTACTAGATAGACTGACTGAAAGGGCTACTTTTTGGCTTGTATTTGATTCCTAAGAATATTTTAATACGTTTACTGTCTCTGACTTCTGTGGAATTTGTGTTTATAGCCTTTAATTCTGTGTGTGTGTGAGAGAGAGAGCACATACATAAAATACAGGACTACTTCGAGTAGCTAGCCGAAAAGAGAAGTAAAACCTTAATGTTTTAAAACATCTTTCTTTTGAAGTAGGAGTAATTGTATTTCAGAGTAGCTTCTATGATTTTGAATAATGCTGTTGATTCTTAGATATGTACATAGTAGTGCTTCGCTGTATGTTTAGGTGCAAAGAGTGACAAGAACAATTGCTGTAGTGTGTGACTTAGCGCGCCAGTCTGCTGAGTGAGTTTGCCCGGGAATGTATGTGAATGGGAGACCACGGTGATCTTTGACATAAAGACATTTTCTAAGTGCAGATCTATAATCACCTAAGAATTCTCATCTTCCACATTAGTCGTGTTTCTGTTACTGTGGTCTCCTTTCTTCTATGCTCCTGGTGAGGAGGGGTGCCTTAGAGTGCTGTTTGTATTTAAAGTGCTGTTCAGGTGGTGTGGCCATAACTCAGGCAGGCATTTAGTGTTTATCTGAACAAAGAGTGACTTTTTTTAATTGAAGGAGAGGTTTATTTTGTTTTGAGACAAAGTTTTGCTATGTAGCTCAGGCAGACCTTGAGTTAGCTTTGTGGCCCAGACTGGCCTTGAACTTGTGATCCTCCTGCCTCAGCCTCCTGATAGGCATGTGCAGCTGTGCCGAGCTCCTTTACTTTTTTGTTTCTTTTTAGTACTGGGGATTGAATCCAGGACCTTCACACTGAGTCAGGCCCTCACTGTTTTTTGTTTGTTTGTTTTGCGGTACTGAGGATTGAACTCAGGACCTTGCACTTATGAGACAGGTGCAGTGCCACTGCACTAAATCCCTGGCCCTGACCCTTATTTTGAAAGACCAGGTCTCTAGAAGTTACCCAGGCTGGACTGCAATTCTGGGTCTTCCTGCCTCAGGCTCTGAGTGCTGGGATTACATGGATGTGCCACTGTGCTGTTTTTGGTATTTCTAAAGGAGATTTTCAGTGAAATGTTTACCTTTTAGGAGTTGATTTTTGCCAGGTGTGGTGGTACATGCCCATAATCCCAGCACTTGGGAGGCTAAGGCAGGAGGATCACCTTGAGTGAGGCAAGCCTGAATTACAGAGTGAGACCCTGTTTTAAAAAACAAAAATCAAAACAAAACAAAAATATAAGTTGATTTTGGACTCCACTGTTTGACTTTACTAGCTCCTTCTGCTGTTCAGATTTTGTTGCTCTTAGAGCCAATGTTCCTGTCAAGAGCAAGTGGTGTTCAAGACTCGTATTCTTTGATTTAGAATGTGGAGGTAGTTTTTTTCTGCAGAGAAGGGAAAGCTAGCGTTTTGATGATGTTGTAGCTATTTTATCTCATTTTTGAAAACTGAATTAGAGATTTTGGAAAACTAAAATGGATAGATGTATTTAACGTTTGTTAAACTGATAATGACTAGGATTCATTACTAACATTCTGTGTTTACATTTTTTAATCTGCAGGGTGGTGGTCATGACAACAGAGTCAATTGCATACAGTGGCATCAAGACAGTGGCTGCTTATATAGTTGTTCAGATGATAAGCATATTGTGGAGTGGAACACACGGGCGTGCAAAGTGAAGTGGTGAGTAATGTCGCTTCTCTGGGGTGGGGTTGGCTGCAGGGACCTTTTGGAAATGAGCCCGTGACAGACCATGTTGGACACAGTGGGGAACATACATGTTGAGAAGGTATAGACTATTTTAAAGAAATGTTTAGTCAAATTGGTCACAAGGTTTTAGCAGAGCTAAATGGCACAAGAGTGAAATACTGCACGAGAGATGGCGGAAAATAGCGTGTGATTACTTGTCAGATGAATACGGCTGTGTTGGGAAGGGAGGGATTTCAGTTGGACCTTCTGTGACAGATAGGATTTAGATAGAGGAGCAGAAGAATGGTTTAAAGAGAGGAGAAAGGTGGGGAGCTGGAAGAAACAGTCCAGGAGACCAGGAAATGAAAGATTTACTTGGTACCGAGCAAGCTAATTTTGAGGGTCTGTCCGGGGCACGATGCATGGTAGAGAATGGAAATACCTTCCAGTTAATAGAAATTATGGTCAGAGGAGGGAAATGGTTTGAAGGCTTTAGACAAGTTGAACATGAACTCAAAATATGTGAAAGACCCACTGGACAGGGTGGTGAGATGCTAGAATGTAAGTGGGCAGCGGTCGGTAGGTGTTACCCCATTTCCCTTGTTACTGTGTGGCTGGGTGAGTGTTTGCCAAGTCTGATCCTTCATGCAGAGTAGCAGTGTCCAAGGTGCCATCTGTCATGCTAGACACGTGCCTGGATGCAGTAGCGCGGGGTTCACTGTGCCTGTCTCAAAATTGAGAAATAGGCTAAACAAGAGCCCAGCCTCTTTCCCACTAAATGTGTGTTCAGCCTAATCCTTAACATTCTTATGTTCTATTATTGATTCCCCACTCCTACCCAGAGCTAGATGCTATCTACTAACATTAAACTTTTTCTTAAGGAGGAGACGTTTATTTTGGGTTGTGAGATTTAACTCTGATCCTTCATTTTCTCTCCCCTTTCTTCTGTATTTACCTTAAGTGTGAATGAAAAGTATAGCAAATGACTAAACTAAAATTTACTACAATTAAAGACACTTTGCCATTACCCCCCCAGTGTCCTTTTTCTTTCAGACCTACTTAACCCGTTGCTGTTGGCACTTTCTTAAGCAGTCCTGGAGGTCCTCTTTTGTGAATGTCCCTTCATTGCACTGTGATGATGACTGCCATGATGGCCTGGATTGATTCAATTTATTTTGTTTGTTTTTTGGTTTTTTGAGATAGAGTCTTGCTATGTGGTTCTGGCTGGCCTGGAACTTGCAAAAGCCCTCCTGCCTCGACTTCCTGAGCGCTGCCACCACACCCAGTCTTCCCCCAGATTTTTTTCTTTCATTAAGTTTATTGGTACATTTTAGGTGTATAATACAGTTATATTCATCATTGGGAACTTGTACCTTTACATGATGTATCTTGGTTCTTAACTTTTTTACCCATTCCCTCGCCCTCAGGATTTTGAAGGCCTCAGTCCATTGTTTTCTAAGTTTTTTAATGTTAATTATTTTTAGTATTCTGCAGTCTTTTGTACTCTTATTTAATGAATGAGTAACATTGGTGCTTGATGCATTCATTTAGCCTGGAGATTGATATGCTTCTTTTTTGTTTTGTATTAGATAATTTTGTCCTTTTTTTCTGTTCTCTAATGAACTGTTAATCCAGGCCTTGTATCTCCTTATCTTGTAAATTTCTGTCTACCTCTAGTGCCTCCACACCCCTGATTGAAGTACATGGAATTTGAATATTGAACCCTGTGCATTCTAGGCAAGCACTTTACCACTGAGCTACATCCCCTGCTCTTTGTCTCTTACTTTTGCATTTTATCTTTTCTTTCTGTTAGGTCAATTTCATTTTCAGTACCTGTTGAATGTTTAAATTTCTCTTACCATGTCTGTCTGTCGGTACAGGGGGATTAATTTAGGGCCTTTACACTGAACTACATTTAAAATTTTTATTTTATTTTATTTTTTTTGTTTTGTTTTTTTGAGACAGGGTCTCACTGTGTAGTTGAGACTGACCTGGAAAATTCTCACTATGTAGCCCAAGCTGGTCTTGAATTCACAACTCACAACGATCCTCCTGTAGCAGCCTCCCAAGTGCTGGGATTACAGGCGTATGCCACCACGCCCAGCTAAAAATTTTATTTTGGGAGGCTACACATGAATTTTTGGTCCTCCTGCCTCATCTTCCCAGGGTGCTGGGATTACAGGCATGTCCCACTGTACCCAGTTCTTAACATAGTTTAAATTTCTGGAGCTGTTTATTGTTCTGTTTCTTTCTTCTTCTTCTTTTTTTTTTTGATTGCATTGCTTCTTTCTAACTCCTTGAAAATAATTGCAATAGGATTTCAGTATTTTTCTTTCCTTGTTGTTCATTTGGTTTCTAGTTTTTTTATTTTGTACTGGGGATTGAACTCGGGTCCTTACGCTTGCAGGGTAGGCAGTGGAGCCACTGAGCTAAATCCCCGGCCCTTGATTTCTAGTTTTAATGTTGAAAGCATTCTTCTCGGTGGCCTGTTGGTATTTGAAAACAAAACATTAAAAAGCTGAGTGGAAGGCCTGGGTGTGGGTGTGTGGCACTTCATTTGGACTTCCTTTGTGGAATGTTGGGAGGCCTAAAATGTTGGTAATACAGCTCATGCCTCTGGAACCCACTGTGTTTCCCACTGGAGAACATTCCAGTCTAGTGCATTTTCAGCTTTAGTGGGCATCTGTGTGCTGCCTGTGCCCATACAGCTCTGATGTAGTATGTTGGCCCTTAGGAGTCTGACGAGTTCTCTGTTGGTGCTGACATAGGAGGATTACACTGAGTGGCGGCATTGGCACTGACCCTTTCTCAGAATGGATAGGTAGATCGGGGAAGCGTGTGGCCTCCTCAGGGCAGGCTACCTTCTTGTTTGTTGAGACAGACTTGCTGTGTGGTTCAGACTGGCCTTGAATTTACCACAGAGCCCAGGCTGGCCTGGAACTCATGACAGTCCTTGTGCCTCGCTCGTGTCAGAGGTGTGCGGCACCATGCCCTGCTTCGGGTCTGATATGTGGATCAATTTAGTGAATTTATACCGAACAATGAGTAGAAGTCAGTCTTGGGACTGGGATATGGCGAGAAACTGGAAAAAATTTTAGAAGCAAGAGGGTGAAGAAAAAAATTCTTTCATTATTATGGACATTTCCTTGATTACAGATATGTTTAAGTGTATCATTTGTAAAAATTTGCATTTTTCCTATGAATTCCTGTTTATGTCTCTTCTGTTTTCCCTGTGAAGTCTTTGTTGTTATTGTGTGTGTGTGTGTGTGTGTGTGTGTGTGTGTGTGTTTGTTTCCAGTACTGGGGATTAAACTCAGGCCCTTCACTACATCCCCAGCTTTTAGTTATTTTTATTTTGAGACAGGATCTTGCTAAGTTGCCCAGGCTGGGCTTGAATTTGCAATCCTTCTACTTCAGTCTCCCATAGAGCTAGGACTACAGCTGTGAGTTCTTTTTCCTTACTGATTCAAAGAAGCTGCAGTGTATGTCTCTGAGTATTAATTCTTTAGTAATATATAACCTTTTTAAGCAGAGAACATTTTTTTTTCTTTTCTTTTTTTTCCCCTGGTTCTGGGTATTGAACTCAGGACCTTGTGCTTGCCAGACAGGTGCGGTACCACTGAGCTAAATCCCCAGCCCAAGGAGAGAAGATTTACTTTGGCTCATGATTTCAGAAGTTTCTGTGGTTGGCTATCTTCAAGGCCCAGCAGCGTGGCAGAAGAAAGCTTCTCACCCCTTGGCAGCTAGGAAGCAGAGCACAGGGAAAGGGTGAGAGAGAGGAACGGGCAGGGGACAGGATCTGCCCTTCAAGGGCACACTACCCCCAGTGACCTGCTTCCTCCAGCGGAGTCAGCTGGTGTCCTCATGATCCACTCAGTTCCTCAAACCCCACCAGCTAGCAACCAAACCTTCAATACAAGGAGGCTTTGGGGGCATTTTGGGTTAACCACAATTGTTTGTTTGTTTGTTTGTTTGTTGTTCTTTTGAGACAGGGTCTTGCCATGTTGTTCAGGCTGGGCTCTAATTCATCATACAGCCCAGGCTGGCCTCAAACTCATGGCAATCCTGCCTCAGCCTCTTGAGTTAGAATAGTCTGTAGTATTTTTTTTTTGGTAGTATGTATTTTAGATGTAAATAAATAGCCACGTGCCCTGTTGCTCAGCAGCATTAATATGTTCAACAAACTGCAAAATATGGTTCTAATCATAGCCACTCTCTTGAAAGGAATAAACTACCTGGTTTATTTCACTTACCTGATGGGAATTCATCCACATAGATTTGGGATAGAAATAAACTTTTTGGGCTGCACCCTGAGACAGTTTTTGCTGCTAAGGGATTAAAGGCTAATGTTGTAGAGAAAGCAGGATGTGCCATGGAGGTGGGTGGGCTGGACTTGTGAAGGTCCAGAGAGGTAGTTGCCTGGGTCACTAGATACACATAGTCCCCTCTTTTCCATTCTTACAACTCTCACCTACCCATTTCCTGCCACCTCTTGAAATTTTATCCAAAGGGGGAGCATGCTGTGTTCAGAGCACCCTCAGGAGGCTTCACTGATATGTCCAGGGTTATTAACCTAAGGCACGATTTTAGGAAATGCGATTGACCTTGCATGGTAATTTTTAATGCTGGTTTGCTTTTTTGTTATTTTCTGTTGAGTAAACGTTCTTTCCATTTATTAAGATGTTTATGCTTTTCTTTACATTATAGCAAATGGAAAGGTGACAATAGCAGCGTCACTTCCCTGTGTATCAGCCCAGATGGAAAAATGTTACTTTCAGCTGGTCGAACAATCAAACTATGGGTTTTGGAGACCAAAGAAATCTACAGAGTGAGTGTATCAAATTACTTCTAAGCATAACAGTCATAGAGAGCAGGTGTGGAGAAAGAAGTTTGAGCCATAGGATGCTGTGTTAAGAATACAAATTCTTAGGCTTGGTGCTTTGTGCCTGTACTCCCAGCACTCAGGACGGCTTGAGGCCAGCCTGCGCAGCATAAGAAGACTGTCAAAAAGCAAAACAGATTTTTTGTGTATGTCAAATAGTAGAATTAACAGACAAAAATTAGGCTTCATATTTGATTTGTTCTTTCCAGAACGAATCAAATAAATGGGATTTGAGTTGAAAATCTCTTACTGTGTGTTATTATAGTAATTTTGTTTTCTAGTTTATTTTCTAGTGGAAATTTAGTGTTAGGAAAAACAGTTGCACTCAGGTTAGTGCAGGTTAAACTTTTGGTGCTGTGATGATGCTGTACAATTGTGGTTTCGACTCCCTGAGAGTAAAATGAAGACCTGCAATTCCTTGGCTGTGTCTGAGCACCTAAGCAACCCTTTACAGTAGTAGAGTTAGAACTGGGGAGGTAGCTGAACGGTGTAGTGCTTGCCTAGCATTCCCGAGACCCTGGGTTTGATCCCAAGTGCTACCAAAAAAAAAAAAAAAAAAGGCATTTAATTTTGATTTTCAGATAGATGTTTAAAATGTGAAAGGATAATAGCACAACTCTCATTTGCTTGTAATTAAACAACTTTGTTGTGGAGCTTTCCTGCCAGATTAATAATACATTTGCTGCCAAAGTGTGCACATTTTTTTTTGTTTTTGTTTTTGTTTCTGGAACCTGGAATCGAACTCAGGACCTTGTGTTTGCCAGGCAGGCACTATGCCACTGAGCTGCATCCCTGGCCCTAGATTAATAATAGCTTCTTTATGATACATATGGATTCTACTTTTTGTACTTTGAATCTGTCCTCTCCTAAATGAGATTTAACTTTCTCTAGCACTTCACAGGACATGCAACGCCAGTTTCATCGCTTATGTTCACTACTATCAGACCCCCTAATGAGAGCCAGCCCTTTGATGGGATTACAGGCCTCTATTTCCTATCTGGAGCAGTGCACGACCGGTTACTCAATGTCTGGTAGGTAGTTCTTTTGGATTTGGGGGTGGCTTTGCCTGCAAGGTATCTGTCACAGTTTGTGTAGTTATAGATGTGCTTTATTGTTGGCATTACACTGACTTAATAATGAAGAACTGAACCTGCCTGAACGTTGGCCCTTTTGGAGAACAATTTAAGAGCATTACATAATAGAGCCTCCTTTCTGCTTCCTTAGAGATGTAGTGGCCTGAATATGTTTTGTGACTGGGCAATTTAAAAATAAAAATTTTTAGGGAGAAGACTTCCATTTTGTTGAAATAAATGGCACCTCTCAGTTAATAGAGTAATGTCTATTTACTGATGGTTTCCTGAGGATATAAAATTCCTTGACATTCTGAGAATCCCCATTAAGCCATTTTTGCTGTTATTAATTCCCTTGGGAGTTTTGTTTCTTTGTTTTCAAGATAGCGTCTCCTTGCTGTGTAGCCCAGGCTGGCCTTGAACTCATGGAGATCCTCCTGATTTAGCCTCCCAAATTCTGGGATTACAGGCATATGCCACCACACTTGGCTTTAGAGTTAACTTCTAAAAGTTAAAATTAATTTGATGCTAAAGAACTATCAAAAAATTTAAATGTAGGAAGTAAGAAATTTCTTGGATTTTAGAACTTTATCTGATGTTGAAGTTGCCCTTTTCAGTTTTCATAGACAAAATATGGAATTGGTTTTGTATTTTAGTAATAGTTGAGCATGTTTGTGATCATATAAAGCTAGTATGAGTTTTTTGTTTTTGTTTTTGTTTTTTTTCCTTTTGGTGACAGGGATCAAACGTGCACTTGCACTTGCAAAGCAGGCAGCGGAACCACTGAGCCAAATCCCCGGCTAGTATGGGTTTTATAAAATAAGGCTTATTTAGAGATGGTACTTAGCACGATAGGCTTGGTGGCACTGCTTTCCAGTCCTGCTTGGGAGGGAGAAGGTTTCTTAGAGCCCAGGAATTCAAGGCCAGCTTGTGCAACCTAGCCAGACCCTGTCTCAAAAAGACGAAAGCTGGGAGTAGAGCTCAGAGGTAGAGTGCTGGCCTGGCACATGTGAAGACCTGGGTTTTATCCCTAGTGCTGCAAAACCAGAAACAATTAATAATGTCAGAGTTAAAATCTGCCTCCAAGGTTTCCTGACATTACCGAGTGCTTCAGTCTTCAGTGTTTCACACTTTAGTGCCCTACTGCCTTAGTTTCTGAAGCTACAGAATTTCTCTATAAGAGGCTGATTTCAGTTATGATTATGAAAAATAGTATTTTGCCTGGGGATGTCTTGGTATCAGAGCAGTAAGCTTAAATTTAACTTGTATGCCTCTCCTCTAAAATTTATATCCCACGTTAAAAGGCTGCTTAACAAACTCCATAAGCTTTGGTGTTAGAGCAAACCTAAGGGTTCCCTGATACATGTATGCATACGTGTGTGTGTGTGTGTGTGTGTGTGTATGTGCGCGCGCGTATGTGTGTGCGTGTGTATTTGTTTTGATTTGGATTTTTGAGACAGGGTCTTGCTTTGTAGTTCAGGCTGGCCTTGAACTCACTTTGTAGCCCAGACTGACCTTGAACTCATGGCAGTCCTCCTGCCTCAGTCTCCTAAATCCTGGGATTACAGATATATGCCATTATACCCAGCTCCTGATAATTATTTTTGAAGATCCCCCTGGGGGGGGATCAAACTCAACCTTGTACTTAGGAGGCAGGTGTGGCACCACTGAGCTAAACCCTGGCCCATTGAAGGACACATTTCTTTATTTTTTTCCCAGTAGTTTTATTCTTTAACATCTTAACAAGAGATTATCCAAAGCTTAAAAGACTTGAAAAATAATACAGTTTCATATTATTTACATAACATGTATACAGGTTCCAGTACCATAGAAACATTGCTGTGTCTGAAATGCAGTGACTGTGGATATAAATAACTAATGGCCTTTTAGAGCAAAGTCTATTGGATATGTTCTTTTACTTCAACTACTTTTACTACTTGTTATGTGAACTATTAGGCACCTGAGAGGTTGGAAGACTTGTGAACACAAATTTCAATGCCTTCTATTTTGATTCATCTTTCTCACCCCCCCCCCATGGGGGATCGAACCCTTGGCATTCAGGGCAGGCACGATGCCACTGAGCTAAATCCCCAGCATCTCTAATGTTTTACTTAATGCACAGCTAAGCTAACTTTATTCTCATTCTAAATGATCAAATAGTAACCACATAAACTGCTACTGTGTATATAGGTTTGAAAATCAAACATAAACATCTACAGCCCAGTTGTGTAGCATATGTGTAGGATGCACATTTAATCCCAGCAAATTCACTACTGTTGTATAAGCCATCTAAAGTCTACTTACAGGTGTCAACTTTTCAGTTTCCATGCTGAGCTATGTTTTTAAAAAACATGTAAAAAACCTTAAAATAATTGGAATAATTTAATTTCTTATAAATTAATCAAGAAACCTAAGATTAAAGATTCTAAATTATAGTTTCACTTGTATTTTAAAAATACATTGGAGATTCTGCATGTGCCCGTGACCAAGCTTCTCTTCGATGCGCACTACTCCCAAATTGTAGGTATGTGCCACCATGCCTGGCAAGAATGCATTTTTAAATTAAAGTATGAAAGCATTTAGGTTGGGCCAGGAATGTAGCTCATGAAAGTTCCCTGTTAATTCTAATCTCAAAAATATCGAAAGATTGTTAGATGTGTTTTACTAGTCGATAAAGAGAAACTGACTTTGAATTGTTTTGGAAATCATATCTGGTACTTGTTCTTTTATTTGTACTTAGCTTTATTGAGGAATAGCCTATAGATAGTGAACTGTGTATATATAAAGTTAC